CGAGGAGGGGGTCGGTTTTATCAGGTGGAAAATGGTCGATTCATTTTGGCATTGTATGTTATAGAAGAAGTCAGCGACCTGGTGACCTGTGCATGCTGCCCACCCCCTGTGGTTCCCAAATCAGTCCTGACTCGGTGACCTTTAATCGGGTTGAAACAGAGGTGGTTGGTCGTTTGGTTTGGTACCTGCGTGGCACTTTTCTACTCAGCCGAGCGCTCACCCAGTCACACACACATTCATTCAGTGCTTTGATCTAACATGATTTCTAACATTCACACTCCAAGCAATTCATTAGGAGCAACTTGAGCTTCAGGATCTTTCCTGAGGGTATTTCAGCATGCGGAACTTGAGGAATCTGGGATTAATCCATTGACTTTCCAGTTGGTAGACGACCCATTCCTGAGTCACCCCAATTTTCGTGTTCATGTGTGTATATTTGTTCACCAAAGATATATGAGGTAGTACTCCTGTTCGAAAGATGTCCCGTGAACGATTACACCAGAACCAGCAGCAGGTGAGGAGTGTGCTTCTATCCCGTGATCACGGAGGTTGGACCCGCTGCAGTCCAGGGCGATGGAGTTGGAATTCATTGGGCTGATTACTCAGTTATATAAACTTTAAGAAGTAAAACCTTTAAGACAGTCGTTCGCATACACAAACGCACACACGCACTGATTAGCAAGTAGACACAACTCTCTCCACCCAACAACCTCAGATAAACTAAGACTGAACATTAATGTTGTGATGACATCAGTGTGTAAAGTGTTTTTTGCTACAACTAAACAACACGGCTTTCATGTGTGAGAGAGGGAGTGTAAGTAATGGACATGAGCACATTCGCTTGATGCTAATTGCCATTTGTCTTGAACTGAAGCCTTAATCACCTCAGACCTATAATAAGCCTGGTCTCTTTCTGCAGCGGGCTGCTGGTTAGACTGGTCTGTGAGTCAGGATTGTCATGGAAACATCACGGACAAAGCTGCAGCATTGACTTTGGTTCTCTGGCCAAATGGGTCACTTTGTTTTATTGTAGTGGTGCTGACATTGACTCGTGGGGAGTGAACTCTTGGCTGGCATCTGATTTAATTAAATGTAGGTACTACTACTGAAAATCAGCATAGTAAAAACATATAAACAGCAGTAGCAGCACCCTTTGTGCTTATCCTGTAACACAGAAATGAAAGACACTCATTTGCTTTTGTATTTTTCGGAGACTTGAAGAAGATCGAATCAGTGTGGCACATATATTGTGTGCAGATGCAAATCTGCTACCACCTGCCAGCGTAACGTTAACAAAGGAAATTAGGGCTGACATATCCACCATACAGTATTCAATTCAGTTTTATTCATACAGCACCAAATCATAACAAGAGTCTCCTCAAGGCGCTTTATATTGTAAGGTAGGTCCTACAATAATACATTCAGAGAAAAACCCAACAATCATATGACCCCTATGAGCAGC